ACTTGTCAAGCCCTTAAATTTACAAGTTTTTGTCTTAAATGTCTTTTGGCGGTCATTTGCTTCTTTTCTCAATCAGGATACGATAAGCTGTCGGACGCACTAATCAGTTGGTGCCACTGGATTTTATTTTGTTTTTGTTTCTTTTCTTCGTGATTCTGAGAATCGTTTTAAGTCAGGAAATCGCTCCCAGACGTTGGTGTCATTCAGACCAGACTCTTCATCCCACTGAAACTCCTTTCATCTCATTTAATCTCCTTCCTGTTTCTGAGTTTGTTTGAACTCAACTTGAACGTCTTAAAGAGGCGGACCCGGTCCGCTCCGAGTGGTTCCGTTCTCATTGAAACCCAGAGCATGCTGCCGGCTGCAGATCGGCCATTAGCAGGCCGACAGCCTTCCTCCACACGTCGGAGCGTGTCAGTGGGAACGGAGTGGCGGTTTGATCCGGCCCTCCGTCTTCAGGAATGTTTTATTGATTAGAACAAGCAGCGCCGAGCGGAGCAGCTTTGTTCAAGGGCAAAGCAGCAAGTTTAGCACTTAGCCGCCTGACAGCGAGAGAGCGGGCGGAGGAAGAGCCGACCGGATACACCTGGAGGGTCGGACAGGTAGCAGGTCCAGAGAGACGCGTCTCATAACTGCCTGTCCATTAACAGGAGAAATAATCTAACATGCTGTTATTAAACTCCGATCCAAAGCAAAGTCCAACTGAGCAGAATATTTTAAAATGGGCACAAAAAACACTATTTTCAATAAAAACAGCCTGGAAATCCAACCTGTTGCATTTATCAGTTTGACAACCATCATATTTTACAGTGTAGACCCCATCAACCAATCAGGTTGTGTCCATAGCGGAGAGCCACAAAGCTGTGGTTTGGTCCTCTCCTGATTACGGTTTCATTACTGAAGGTGATCAACAGATTAGTGAAAAGAAACATTTTGATCAGGAAACGGTTCAGTTCATTCAGTTCGTTCAGTTCATTCAGTTCATTCAGTTCGTTCAGTTCGTTCAGTTCATTCAGCTGAAGTTCACAGAAGAAATGAAACTGAACAAGGTCACATTAATGACCTTAACGACCCAAATACTGTATGTCCCCATACTGACTTATATTGACTAATGATGACCTTAGCGACCTTAATGATGACCTCAACGACTCTAATGATGACCTTAATGATGACCTTAGTGACCCTAATGATGACCTTAGTGACTCTAATGATCACCTTAGTGACCCTAATGATGACCCTAGTGACCCTAATGATGACCTTAGAGACTCTAATGATAACCTTAGTGACCCTAATGATGACCTTAGCGACCTTAATGATGACCTTAGTGACCCTAATGTTGACCTTAGTGACCTAATGATGACCTTAGTGACCCTATGGATGACCTCAGCGACTCTAATGATGACCTTAGTGACCCTAATGATGACCTCAGCGACTCTAATGATGACCTTAGTGACCCTAATGATGACCTTAGTGACCCTATTGATGACCTTAGCGACTCTAATGATTACCTTAGCGACTCTAATGATGACCTTAGTGACCCTAATGATGACCTCAGCGACTCTAATGATGACCTTAATGACCCTAATGATGACCTAAGTGACCCTATTGATGACCTTAGCGACTCTAATGATGACCTTAATGACCCTATTGATGACCTTAGCGACTCTAATGATGACCTTAATGACCCTAATGATGACCTTAGCGACTCTAATGATGACCTTAATGACCCTAATGATGACCTCAGCGACTCTAATGATGAGCTCAGCAACTCTAATGATTACCTTAGCGACTCTAATGATGACCTTAATGACCATAATGATGACCTCAGCGACTCTAATGATGACCTTAGTGACCCTAATGATGACCTTAGTGACCCTATTGATGACCTTAGCGACTCTAATGATGAGCTCAGCAACTCTAATGATTACCTTAGTGACCCTAATGATGACCTTAGTGACCCTATGATGACCTTAGCGACTCTAATGATGACCTTAGTGACCCTAATGATGACCTTAGTGACCCTATGATGACCTTAGCGACTCTAATGATGAGCTCAGCAACTCTAATGATTACCTTAGCGACTCTAATGATGACCTTAGTGACCCTAATGATGACCTCAGCGACTCTAATGATGACCTCAGCAACTCTAATGATGACCTTAATGACCCTATTGATGACCTTAGCGACTCTAATGATGACCTTAATGACCCTATTGATGACCTTAGCGACTCTAATGATGACTTTAATGACCCTAATGATGACCTTAGCGACTCTAATGATGACCTTAATGACCCTAATGATGACCTTAGTGACCCTATTGATGACCTTAGCGACTCTAATGATGACCTTAGCGACTCTAATGATGACTTTAATGACCGTAATGATGACCTTAGTGACCCTATTGATGACCTTAGCGACTCTAATGATGACCTCAGCGACTCTAATGATGACCTCAGCAACTCTAATGATGACCTTAATGACCCTATTGATGACCTTAGTGACCCTATTGATGACCTTAGCGACTCTAATGATTACCTTAGCGACTCTAATGATGACCTTAGTGACCCTAATGATGACCTCAGCGACTCTAATGATGACCTTAATGACCCTAATGATGACCTAAGTGACCCTATTGATGACCTTAGCGACTCTAATGATGACCTTAATGACCCTATTGATGACCTTAGCGACTCTAATGATGACCTTAATGACCCTAATGATGACCTTAGCGACTCTAATGATGACCTTAATGACCCTAATGATGACCTCAGCGACTCTAATGATGAGCTCAGCAACTCTAATGATTACCTTAGCGACTCTAATGATGACCTTAGTGACCCTAATGATGACCTCAGCGACTCTAATGATGACCTCAGCAACTCTAATGATGACCTTAATGACCCTATTGATGACCTTAGCGACTCTAATGATGACCTTAATGACCCTATTGATGACCTTAGCGACTCTAATGATGACTTTAATGACCCTAATGATGACCTTAGCGACTCTAATGATGACCTTAATGACCCTAATGATGACCTTAGTGACCCTATTGATGACCTTAGCGACTCTAATGATGACCTTAGCGACTCTAATGATGATGACTTTAATGACCGTAATGATGACCTTAGTGACCCTATGATGACCTTAGCGACTCTAATGATGACCTCAGCGACTCTAATGATGACCTCAGCAACTCTAATGATGACCTTAATGACCCTATTGATGACCTTAGCGACTCTAATGATGACCTTAATGACCCTATTGATGACCTTAGCGACTCTAATGATGACCTTAATGACCCTATTGATGACCTTAGCGACTCTAATGATGACTTTAATGACCCTAATGATGACCTTAGCGACTCTAATGATGACCTTAATGACCCTAATGATGACCTTAGTGACCCTATTGATGACCTTAGCGACTCTAATGATGACCTTAATGACCCTAATGATGACCTTAGTGACCCTATTGATGACCTTAGCGACTCTAATGATGACCTTAGCGACTCTAATGATGACCTTAATGACACTAATGATGATCTCAACGACTCTAATGATGACCTCAGCGACTCTAATGATGACCTCAGCAACTCTAATGATGACCTTAATGACCCTATTGATGACCTTAGCGACTCTAATGATGACCTTAATGACCCTAATGATGACCTTAGCGACTCTAATGATGACCTCAGCAACTCTAATGATTACCTCAGCGACTCTAATGATGACCTTAGTGACCCTAATGATGACCTTAGTGACCCTAATGATGACCTTAGTGACTCTAATGATGACCTTAGCGACTCTAATGATTACCTTTGTGACCCTAATGATGACCTTAGTGACTCTAATGATGACCTTAGCGACTCTAATGATTACCTTAGTGACCCTAATGATGACCTTAGTGACCCTTGATGACCTTAGCGACTCTAATGATGACCTTAGCGACACTAATGATGACCTTAGTGACCCTAATGATGACCTTAGCGACTCTAATGATGACCTTAGTGACCCTAATGATGACCTTAGTGACCCTAATGATGACCTTAGTGACCCTAATGATGACCTTAGTGACCCTAATGATGACCTTAGTGACCCTAATGATGATCTCAGCGACTCTAATGATGACCTTAGTGACTCTAATGATGACCTTGGTGACTCTAATGAGACCTTAGTGACTCTATGATGACCTTAGCGACTCTAATGATGACCTTAGCGACTCTAATGATTACCTTAGTGACCCTAATGATGACCTTAGTGACTCTAATGATGACCTTAGCGACTCTAATGATTACCTTAGTGACCCTAATGATGACCTTAGTGACCCTATTGATGACCTTAGCGACTCTAATGATGACCTTAGCGACACTAATGATGACCTTAGTGACCCTAATGATGACCTTAGCGACTCTAATGATGACCTTAGTGACCCTAATGATGACCTTAGTGACCTAATGATGACCTTAGTGACTCTAATGATGATCTCAGCGACTCTAATGATGACCTTAGTGACTCTAATGATGACCTTAGTGACCCTAATGATGACCTTAGCGACTCTAATGATGACCTTAGTGACCCTAATGATGACCTTAGTGACCCTATTGATGACCTTAGCGACTCTAATGATGACCTTAGCGACACTAATGATGACCTTAGTGACCTAATGATGACCTTAGCGACACTAATGATGACCTTAGTGACCCTAATGATGACCTTAGCGACTCTAATGATGACCTTAGTGACCCTAATGATGACCTTAGCGACTCTAATGATGACCTTAGTGACTCTAATGATTACTTTAGTGACCCTAATGATGACCTTGGTGACCTAATGATGACCTTAGTGACTCTAATGATGATCTCAGCGACTCTAATGATGACCTTAGTGACTCTAATGATGACCTTAGTGACCCTAATGATGACCTTAGTGACCCTAATGATGAGGTTCTAGTGGTGATCTGAACGGTGGGTAATGTGCATGGTGTTGGTTGGTTCTGACCCGACAGCAGCAGCTCCTGCTCCATCACGCCGCAGCCCAGCACCTCCATCCAGTCGCCCTGGAAACGCACCTCCATCTCAAAGGAGGGGTGAGTGAAGGGGAAGTAGCAGTCGACCCACCTGACCTCCACGTCTGTGGGGAGGAAAACCAGGGTGAGGAAGCTGTAGAGGAACTCAGCGGTCCGGCTGATCCGGTCCGGCCTCACCTGGTCCAAACAGGTGTGTGACGAGTCGGGTCAGGGTGGTCTTCAGGTCGAACTCCACCAGCTTGACGGCCTCCAGGCTGTGGCTCTCCTGCTTCTGGGCGGTCCGGCGCCCGCCGCGCTCGAACAGGCTCAGCTCTTCCCGCCGCGGACCCTGAGAAACAGCTGCAGAACACACAGTCAGAGGTTCTGCCGCGGCCCGGTCCGCTCGGCCGCACGGCGCCGTCAGAACCTCGTGGTCGGAGAAGAGGCGGACCCCCTCCATCTGGTGGAAGACCGGGTAGTGGCTGGCGTCGACCTCGTCCCGCCGGTACACGTCTCCGGCCAGCAGGAAGGCGTCCAGACCGGACCGGACCAGGTCCCTCTGGTGGGCCGAGGTGTGGGCCCGCAGCATGGTGGTTCTGGAGGCAGCAGGACGAACGGGTCAGAACCAGTGAGGGTCAGCGTGGCACCGAGGGAGCAGCTCACCTGTTCAGGTAGTAATTATCGCCGCGCTTCCTGCTGGGGTGATCAGGAGGAATCAGCAGGCTGCAGGACAGAGAGAGAGAGGACCGGGTCGGAACCGGGTCTGGACCGGGTCGGAACCAGGTCTGGACCGGGTCTGAACCGGGTCTGGACCGGGTCTGGACCTGGTCTGGACCGGGTCTGAACCGGGTCTGGACCGGGTTTGGACCGGGTCTGAAACGGGTCTGAACCGGGTCGGAACTAGGTCTGGACCGGGTCTGAACCGGGTCTGAACCTGGTCTGAACCGGGTCTGAACCGAGTTTGAACCGGGTCGGAACCGGGTCTGGACCGGTTCTGAACCCAGCTTCCCTCATTCATCCTCTTTTCTAGCAGAAACATGTAACCAGCTTCAGTCTCAGTGGAGTCGATGTGGAGAACCAGAACCAGAACCAGAACCAGACCCAGATCCAGAACCAGACCCAGAACCAGACCCAGAACCAGAACCAGAACCAGATCCAGAACCAGACCCAGAACCAGGACCAGAACCAGGACCAGATCCAGAACCAGACCCAGAACCAGAACCAGAACCAGAACCAGACCCAGAACCAGACCCGACCCGGTCGGTGCATCAGGGAGCCTCTGACCTGTCAAAGTTCTGCTCCACCGTCACCACTGGACTCAGGTTGTCGTGGACGGAGAACAGCGGGTTGCCCCATCGACCGACGAAGGAGCTGCAGAGGAACCAAGATGGAGGCTGCAGCTATGAACCAATCAGAACTGGGATGATCGGGATCAATAAACTATTTTAACTGTTTCCTGACTCCGCTTGGAAAACACGTCGCCGCCCCTTTAACATCTTCCTCTGGCGTTTTCTGCAGCAGTTTCCAGTCATTTCTCAAGGTCAGAGGTCAGACACTGATGTTGGCTGACCGCCGCTGACTTTAGCTCGTTCTACCAAACCGATTGTTCAAGGCGTTTCCTGCAGACTGCGGTCTGCCGGGCAGGTGGGCCTCGGCTCGGCGCCCTCACCTGTAGAAGTGGGCTTTGATGCGCTCCTTGACGAGCCACAGCGGGTGGTTCGGCTGGTTGTGCAGGTGGAAGCCCACCTTGGCCAGGATCTTCGGCGTGACGTTGGTGAAGTGGTCGCGGGGGTAGGAGCGTCCCAGCAGCTCCACGGAGTCCGGGCCGATCACGGGCTGCAGGGTGTGGCCCTCGGCGGCGAGCCCCCGGCACGGCGCCGGGCCGCCGGCGGACCGGAACCCGGAGAGCGGGCGGCGGAGCAGAGGGCGGGTCCGGAGCCGGCATGGGAAGAACCGGGAACCGAACATCATGAGGACGAGTCCATGGAGCTGGAGAGGAACGGCAGGCAGAGGATGAGGTCTGGGACGGATCGGAACCGATCCGCTCGGTTCCCATCCGCTCGGTTCCGATCCGATCGGTTCCGATCCGATCGGTTCCGATCCGGCCCACACAGGATCACCCAGCCACTACCACATCATCTGGTTTCCATAGCAACCACGGATACCGACAGTCCGAACTTTATTTTGAAAGTTTAAAATCTTGTGAACTTTAAACTCCTGGAGTTTAATAAACTGCAGGATTTTCCTGGTTTTTACTGAACTTCCTGTTTCTGCTGAGGAAACAGGAAGTTGTTATTTAAAATATGAACAAGTGAAATGAACATCAGTAAATCATCAGCATAGATTCTGTCCATCTAAAACCTGCAGCTCTGACCTTTGACCTTCATTGTGTTGCTGAATGTCTGTAAATAATTCAAGTTAAAATAAAACTGTAAATTATTAAAACATAAAATCTTCAGACTGGAAAACAGAAAATCATGAACTTAATCTGTTGGTTTTGTTAGGTTTATTAACCTCCCTCCGCCCCTCCTCTACGTGTTGCTGATCCCTCTAATAAAGGTTTTTCTTCCTGCTGCAGCTTCCAGGTTGATGGTTTCAAATCCATCTAAATGTTTCCTGTTTATCTTCTGAACTTTCTGGCTGCCGAGCCGGAAAGGATCTAAACTTTAGGATCCTGCTGGACTGAAATACCACCGATTGTTACTCTTCCTCCTCCTCTTCCTCCTCCTCTTCCCCCTGCTCTTCCTCCTGCTCTTCCTCCTCCTCTTCCCCCTCCTCTTCCTCCTCCTCTTCCCCCTGCTCTTCCTCCTGCTCTTCCTCCTGTCGCTGGTGTGAAAACAAACCGCAGCTCCTCAGCGGAGGTCAGGCGGGGCGGGAGCTGCAGGTGAACGTTTCCCATTTATGGATGAAGATGCAGCAGCAAAGGTTGCAGCGCCGCCGTCAGTTTCCCTTTAACCAGCAAATATTTGCACCGATGTCCCTCAGCCAACAGACTGCGGCCCTGCAGAGGCTCTGCAGCAAAACGGATCGATGCCGCTGAACCGGACCGCCCGGCGCCGAGGCATCAGGGGTCAGAGGTCAGGGACAAGACAAGGTCGGGGGAGTTCATGGGCTGCAGGTGAAACTAAACCATCAAACCGAGGCTGAAAACTTTAAAAATGAAACGCAAATGAGTCGAGTTCTGCCACATGATGTCATCAACATAGCTGCCACCACAGCGTGATGTCATCAACATGGCTGCCACGACAGCGTGATGTCATCAACATGGCTGCCACCACAGCGTGATGTCATCAACATGGCTGCC